TAGGGGGATCTGAACCCTTGACCTTGGTGTTATCAGCACCACGCTCTACTGATTGAGCTATCGGGCCAGCCCCTGGCACTTCTTTTCAAGACAAAAATTAGATCGTAGTAGACAGGTAGGCAGTGTGGCACTGGCTATAGGAGCCCAGCTTCGAGAGTCAGAGCAACTGGGTTTGAATCCAGACTGATCATTAGCAATGGGATTCAGGGAAGTGAGCCTCTCTGATCCTGTTTCCTCCTCTAAAAAGGGGCACCATGCTGGTACCCACATCTCAATGTGATAGTGCAATTAAAATTGCATGATGCCTGGCACATAGGATTATGAGCTGTCCTCAGTCTTCTTCCTCCAGGTGTGAGTAGACAGAAGACCAAATTTCCTAACTCTGTTCCCCTGGCCACAGATCCTGGTGTCTGTCTTGGCCCTATCCTCTCACAGAGCAGGAGAGGGACCTGGGCACAGCCTCATTCTGGAGCCCTTCTCGAGGGCCTCATGCAGAGCCATGCTCCATCCATTCTCCCCTCTCCTGTGTTGACCCAGCTGCTCCTCCCCTCCCACAAGTTCCACACAGCCTTCTACCTGCCTTTCACCACCAAGCTTCTTGGGAGGTGGACCTGCCTGCTGCCTGGGGTGCTGCTGGCCCGTAGCTCATGGAGGATGGTCTCTCCTTGGTCTCCATTAGCTACCTCCCTATCCACTCCCATGGCTTCCCTGCTGTCTCTAGGACTCTGCTTGCTTCTGACTTGCCAGAAATGTCTCCCCTGGTACCTTTGCTCTTTCTACACTTATAGCTGTTTCCCCCTTACCTGTCTATTTAAAAATAAACAAAAGAAAAATTTTAATTACATGACAGATTTAACAAGGTGTTTCCTTAATTTCAAATCAGCATAGAAGGCTAAATGTAAAACTTCTCGCCTTACCTGTTCTCACTCCTAGGGCAGGCCTTTTTCAATGCATTTAGATAAACTTCAGTTTTATTTTTAAAAGATGACTATGCTAATATGCTGGTTAAAAAAGCCCAGGGATGGACAGTTAGCTCAGTTAGTGGTGTTATAACAAGGGTTTGGATCCCCATACCAGCCAGTTACAAAAAAAAATCCAAATGTTTTGTCAAAAATTTAGTTTCTTACTTTTAACACCACTCCTCCCACCAGTGGCAGAATGATATATGTTTGAGTAAATCTAGAAATTTCCTGAAATAACCTAGAGTTTTTATACAATGGGGATGATACAGTCTGTCATATTCCTATACCATTCAACATCTTGCTTTTTATGCTTTATTTTTTGGTATCTTTCCATATAAATTATCTGTCTTTTTAATTAATTTTTTATTGATTTTTTTGTTTAATTGTTTTGCTTTTTTATAAAAAAGAGCAGTACAGGGGGATTTTTATGGTGATGGAAATGGCTTGTATGGACCAGTGATCCTTCAGTAGTGCTGAGCATACCTGATACCCAGATCTTGGTTTCTAAATAACACTCTCCAATAAAAGGAACCTGGGTTTCTTGGAGAAGTGATTGGTTTCAGGGCTGGGGCAAGGAAAATATAAGTTGAGACTGGAGCATCTTGTGGTGCCAGAAAGTACAAGTGCTGAAGTAAAAAGAATGGGAGCATATTGAAAGAGCATAAGAGCCAGGCTGTGAAAGAATTCCCAATGGACATAAACAACTTGAGCAACAGAATGATAGTACTGGACTATAACCCAAAGAATAAAATAAATATTCTGGAGCTCATACTAATATCAATAACTGAATATGTAAATGAATGGGGGAGAAGGGGCAACTCCTCATTACAGAAAGATTCTAATTCATAAATGTAGAAGGAAATAAGAAATGGTCATTGGAGCATCATAGTAATCATTGCTGTAGGCAAGATGCACTGGTAGATGCTCAAATTAGTGGATGAAAGTTTAGGCTGGCTGGTTAGCTTAGCTGGTTAGAGCATGGTGTTGTAACACCAAGGTAAGGGACAGCCACCAAAAAAGTTTAAAGTTTAAGCAGAAGTAGGATATTTGCATAGTCTCAAAGTATCTCCCTTACAGTACTTATTCATAACAAAGAGAAAAATAGTAAGTTGAGATACTGCCTTTAATCAATTGATCAAAGTTATCACAAGTATGGTGTGTGGCCTCCAAGATGACCCTTAATGATCCCCATATCCTGTATTCACATCCTTGAGTCAAATGTGTGCCCCAAAAGTTCATGTGTTGGAAACCTAATCTCCATTGTAACCCTGTTAAGAGGGTGGGAAACCCAATTAATAGTATTTGAAAGGTGGGGCCTTTTAAGAGGTGATTAGATTATGACACTGCCCTAGCGAATGGATCGATCCATTCATAGAATGGTGGGTTGATGGTTAATGGATGGTCTTGGGTGTGGTTCTGATGGCTTTATAAGGAGAGTGGGTGAGCAGGTTAGCACTCTTGCTCAGCCCATTCTTACTATGTGATACTCTGCATTACTCTATAGAGGAAGGCCTCTACCAGATGTGGTCTCTGGACTTTTGACTTCCCAGCCTCTAAAACTGGGGTTTGGAAGCAGATCCTACCCCAGTCAGGCCTTCAGATGAGGCAACAACCACTCCTACTGACACCATCTAAACTGTGCCTAGATTTCCAACCCACAGAAACTGTGTGATAATAAATGTTAATCTGCTGAATTGTGGAATAATTTGTTATGCATCAGTAGATACTTCAATACAAATAGTAATGTATTTCAACACGATCGACCACCTGCTAGGCTGCACTGAGAAGGGTACATGGTCTCTGTCATATCCTTCCCCAATAACATATAACCTCAATCTAATCATAAGAAAATATCAGGCAAAACCATCCTGGAACATAAAGAGAACAGCAGTGGAAAAGCCTGGGGGGTGGGGGTGGGGAGTCTACTTTGTAGTTTAGTTAATAGTTTTCTCAGTGTCGATTTCTCAGTTTTGATAATTATTCTGTGGCAAGGTTTCTGAGCTTTGGCACTGTTGACATTTTAGGTTGAATAATTCTTTGTTGTGACTGTGCATTCCAGGATGTTTACCAACATCCTTGGTCTCTAATACTAAATGCTGGAAGCATCTCCTACCCCCCATTTGTGACAACCAAAAATGTCTTAAGACAATGTCCCCTGGAGAACAAAATCACTCGTGGATGAGAACCTCTGTTCTATTATTATGTAAGAGGCTAGTATAGGGAAGGCTGGATGAAGGGTACATGAAAACTCCTACTGCTTTTGTAATTCTGCCCTAAGTCTAAAATTATCTTTTAAAAAGGAGGCTATTCTTATACTAATATATGCTTATTTTTAAAAAATCAAAATATTGGGCCGGCCCGTGGCTCACTCGGTAGAGTGCGGTGCTGATAACACCAAGGCCATGGGTTCGGATCCTATATAGGGATGGCCAGTTTGCTCACTGGCTGAGCGTGGTGCTGACAACACCAAGCCAAGGGTTGAGATCCCCTTACCGGTCATCTTTAAAAAAAAAAAAAAAAAAATCAAAATATTATATTAAAACTTAAGTTCCTCATATCTTTCTTCACCTGCATCACCAGTGGTATTCACAAACACATTTGAATGAATCCAGAAATTTTCTGTGACATAAAACCTATAGTTTTACGTCACCAATAATGAATCATACTCTAATACTCATACTGTTCAGCAGCTTTCCTTTTTTTTTTTCTTTTTCTTCTTTTTTGGTGCCTGGCTGGTACTGGGATCTGAACTTATGACAGTGGTTTTACCAACACCACACTCTAAATGAGCTAACCGACCAGTCCTGGCTTGTTTTTTTTATGCTTTATATCTTTGCTTTCTTCCCATTAATGCTTTATTCATTCTTTTTCATTAGTTTCCTGTTGATTTTTTAGTTTTGTTAAGCTTTCATACACGTACTATTTGGGTTTTTTTATCCATACTGTAATTGCTACGCTGTACTATGACTTGCTTTTTTCACCCAGAAAACAGCACCAGCCAACACATATCCTCGCTATGGGCCAGTCACTGTTCTGAGTGATTTAGAAAGATTAATTAATTTAGTCTTCACATTAGACAGAAGAAGTATGTATTATTGCTATACCCACTTGGCAGTTGGGGAAGCTGAGCGCAGAGGTTAAGTGATTTGTTCAAGGTGATGGCAGGTGGCAGAGCCAGGCTTTGGACTCAAGCAGTCTGGCTCCAGAGTGCTCTTAACCTGCCGTATCCTGCCTATAATTATGTATCCCTATGAGTTCTGTCACTGAGCCTCATTTTTTGTATATAAGGGTCCATGCTATAGCTGAACTCTAATTGAACTCTTCCCATATCTTTGACTCCTATATCTATCTCCAGCCCACAGTTCCCAGCCTCGATCCCCATCCACCTCCCCAGTGTCCCATGGGCTCCACAGACTCTATTTTAAATAGGCTCAAACTGAGCTCATCTTCCTCCCAACCACACTTCCTCCTGTGTTCTCATCTGAGTGGCAATGCCAGCACCCACCAGTCACCCAGGATGGAGGAAGGAGCCACATTGAGATGGAATAAGTGAAGTAAAGAGGTTCCAAAGGACGTGAAAGGTGTGTGGGTCAGTTGCACAGGGAAATGGTTAGACTGGGGACCCAAGGCATAGAGCTGGGGACTGGACACCCCCTCCTACAACCAGGCATACCACCAGTGCCTTGGGGCCCGATGAGTCCTGAGGCATAGAGCCAGAGACTGGACCCCCCACACACAGACAACCAGGCACACCGCCAGCACCTTGGGGCCTGACCGGGGTCCTGAGGCATAGAGCTGGGGACCGGACACCCCCACAACCAGACACACCACCAGCACCAAGGAGCATGCTAAAAACATCACCTCCATGTGGGTGGCCCACCACAGCCACCACAGTAACCATGGCTGCTGCAAAAGTGGCTAGATGTCACAGCCACCATGCAGATGGTCCACCAGCCACTGGAGTGCACTGACACAAG